CCCCCCCCCCCCCCCCCCCATGCTGCAGCCACCCCTAGTCACCACATGCAAGAACGATCGGGAACTCTACATTTACGAGGCCAAGCACGAAACAAGTTCTCAGTGCCCAGTAGCCGCTCGGAACTAAGTCAACAAGCACGACACTGAACAGATAAGGGCAGAGCAGATGTTCTGTTGCTCGGCCACTGTGCTGCTTCAACGACATAAACACGCCGGATGCGAAGACACCTTCGCTTGAGTGTCTTGTCGTGCCGGGCAGTTGCTCAGGAGGCCTCCTGGTCAACAGGAACGTTGGTAGAGGGGGCAGAAAAGTCCAAGAATAGAAGATGCTTCGAAGTTGAAACCAGGGCCACACAGCCCTTGATGCAGAAGCCGAAATGTTCCAAATCGTTCCTATGTCTCTTGACTCAGGCAAATGCACACACACACACACTAGCCTTGGGAGTCAAGCAGTATCAGAGCTTCTGGGGAAGATCCAGTGAACATGGGCCGGAGGGCTTTCAGCCTGCCACGTGTTCCCAGGACATTCACCCTCAAGATGCTGAAGCAAATCCTCCGAGCCAAGCTTCTGAGCTCAAAATCCGAATTCCGCTGTTGATACTTGTTGCAAGGGACAACGTCTCTCAAGCTTGGGGATGTGACGGGGTTTGCGAGCTTTCGCCGAACTTGCATGGATCCTAAGAACGGCTTCAGCCCTGTAGGTCTTGTCAGAATCTTTGCTTCGGAAAGCGATTATGTAGCATGAAGGGGGCTGAGACTCTAATTATAGGGTCGAGGGCCAAACAAATGCTAGCCTAACTCGCTCAATGGTCGAAACCCTGAGATGCAGGCCTACGCCAGATTATTGATCTTGGTTGGCCCTGCGAATTCATTTGACAAGAAGCTGCCACCCCTACGAAGCACAATCTGTTGAAGATGGGAGTGTGGTGCCGGCACCACGATTTTCGTCCATGATGTGTACGGGTAGTCCGCAGACCCAACATCAGCCGCTTAGTAGGTAATCAGCCAGGGTGTGATGTGTAGGCACACGTCTCTCTACGTATGACATACAGGTATTTTCGCTAGGTTTCGAATACCTCACATCCAACCGTACCATAGTCGACTTGATCCGGCAAGTAAGTACACATGGGAATCCGCAAAGCAGCCTTTGCCAGCTGAGGAAGAAGGGTGAGGAGCTCTGAGAAGCTGTGATGCTCCGAAAGTTCACTATTTGCTGAAGCTTCCACGATCTCAGCTGTTGAATAGAGCAGCCGCTTTGCACGGATGGGGTGCTTGGAAGGGAAGGAGGCTCCTGGCTCAAGTAGCAGAGCATTTTCACCACGCGAGGTATGTCAGCTATCAGCAAGAGGACGACTGCCCACGATGCTGTGAAGGACGGTGCAGGGAAGCCATCGTAAAGACCTCGCACTGATCAGTGAAGCTTCAGCAGCCTCTTAGCTTCATGTAGCTACTTTGGTCAGTGCCCTCTCCCTGCTGTGGGAGCAACGCACGGGTCCTGGGTGTTGAAGCAAGAGGCGATATACTGGCACGGCAGCAGAAGAAAAAGCACAAACACTTTCGGCTAACAAGTTCGTGGTTAAGTCCCACCTATGCAGAGTGTTGGCGCTCCGATGCCACGGTTGTGTGCGAGGTGCGTATAAAGGGTTATAACATGACCGGCAAGGGCTGAGAACAATCTCACAGCTGCGCAGAGCACTTCCAGCACAGTCTGATTGAACAGGTCCGCCTTACGGTTTTATGACCGTGCGGTAGTCGCCGTGAGCGGTGTGTTACGGCGTTTCCCTACTCAGTAGCCTACTCGAAGTTGAACCGACGAGCGTTTGCTTGGGTCAGTAATACAGCCATCGGAAGCGGTGAGAAAGGCCCTTTTGCATACACGAGTGACTAGAAAGACTTTGCTTCGGATCTCCTTGCTTCCTCCATGGATGAGGAATCTCTCGTGAAGCTTCTTTTTGGCTCCGACCGAGCCATGGCACGCAGAAACGGGAGAAGGGCTTTGAACTGAACCTTATCCAGAGCAACTGGCACTATCGGCTATCGCTTGAACCACGTATCAGTACGGCAACCACTATCAGTACGGCTACATTGCTGCTGCGTGATGTTCATATTTGTTACATTCGTCAGTGTAGGACGAAAGCAATCTCTGCAAAAGCCTAGTGACCCCAAATCTTGATTGTCAGGGATGACGGCCAAGCATAATCTTGAGAATCGGAAATCAAGCGACAACAGGAATGACAATGATGTCCAGCGAGGCAGATCGCCCTCCAGCCGTATGGCATACTCCAAGCCATGGCTAGAGGTCCAGAAGCCAATCTGGCAAGGGCCCTGCTTTTTTTCAGTTCTGCTTGCGCTCCCCTGAGAGCCCTAAGCATCTGAATAAAGATCTACCCCTCGCAAAACCATTGTAGGAAACTCTATGTGATTCAATGATCTCCATTCGTAGATCTTTGCGGTTATGCAGTAAGGGAGTAGAGCGTCAAAATGCCCAGGCTTGCTGGCATAGTCCACACTTCAAGAGGTTCCAGGATCGGGCGCGCATTGTCGAACTTTGTTTTGGTGCTGTTGCCAGGCCTTCAGGATTGTTACTCCTGGTTATCGGATGTTTTTGGCTTATGGCATGGCCGCTCTCTTCCAGGACAATGAAGTGTTCTACGAGCGCCGGGACTACCACTGCTGCAGCGAAACGTACGGCCCAAGGCAAGTCGAGATCGCCTGCGCATGAGCGATCACCATGTGCAGGTTGCAGGGATTTTTTGTGAGTGTCGTGCCCCGCACCGTGCTCAAGCGACGGGCTGTATATTATATAAACGTGAGAAGTATTTGAAAGGGCCTGTGCTGCCAGGGGCATGGAAGCTTGCTGGCTCCCACCGCATGTGACCTTCGAGCGATGCTGTCGTGGCGGGCTCAGTCAGGAGTACCAAAAGTCTTTAAGATATATTTGAGCTTAAGGATTCTGCAAACTAGAGCATGGGCTGCTCCCTCCTCCTGTACTCATGTGAAGCTCATCCTGAATAATGGCTGGGTCGATGTGACAAGCATTGCGTGGGGGCGGCGGGGGCTGCTAATTCAAGCAGCAGTCAAGAAACAGAGTGCCATAGATTCAGAAGCCATCGGCAGCAGAGCAGCAGCCTAAACACCTTGAAGGGTTCTCGTGTTTTGCGAAATGATGCCTCAAGCCTTCAGCTACATGTTTCGAGAATAGCAAAGAGCTTCTGCAGACGAAAGCCGGGTGAGGTGCAGAGTTTGCACAGATCTTTGGGTCCAAAGAAGCGGCTTCCATCGTGGAGGTGCCGCCGCATGCAGAGTTTTCCACATTTCTCAACAGAGCGATGGCCAGCGTACTTGGGCTTTCACACCTCCTCAAGTGATCAAAAGTGTCTCTGACAGGCGAGCCCAGTGACCCGTCGGACGGAGCTCCTCGTGGTGGGTGGGGGCCCGGCGGCCATGATCATGGCTTTGCTGCTTCTCTGCGAGCCGGCAAGACGGGCATGGATTTTCGCTTAGGGTTGAGGGTGCTCTGGTTTTTCATGTCAAGGCAGTTCGGTGTCTTGCCTTCCTTCGCAGAACATATGCCTGAGTTTCAGCTTCGGCGTGCGTTGTGCAACATCTACCGGGCTACGACATAATAAGACTGGTGGCAAATACAGTGAACCGAAAGAGCATGCCAGGTTCTGAATTCCATGGAGAGTCACCCATCCAAGCTACTCTCCTTTTCCGGAAATGGGCCTGTGTTCGTGCCGGGCCTCGGTCGCTTGGCGAGTGTGCTCCAGGACGGCTTCCGTATACCAAAGTTGCCTGTGCTAAGTATACGCCCAGTGCACATTCTCGCGAGTCGCGAAGTGTGAGAGTGAGTTGTGTTGCATTGTAAGGGTACTGACCTTTCGAAAGTACGACAGCCAATGGATTCTTTTATGCTGGCAGCTGAGAGATATGAAACCGTCGGAGAAGAAGAGACCCGAATGTAGACCTGACTTGTCAAGAGCCCTACAGAAAGTGCATTCCGTTACAAAGACGGGGATTCATAGCAAGTTAATTTGCGTAAAAAAATTCTTTTTAAGAGAAACCCATCAGTGTCGCAGGCATTCAAGCACATGAGCGCCTACTTACGTACAGATAAACAGACAGAGACAGTCAGCCCGGCAGCCAGTCAGTCAGACGGACACACGCAACCTGACCGACTGACTGACCAACTGACTGACTGATCCTCAGAGGACGAAACTCATAGAGTTGTTGTGGTTTCGTCGATACAATGACGTGATTCTCACTAACAGGACAGCCACTATGGCATGCAGAAGACTGTGGATGCCCTGCGCCTCGCCTGCAGTAGAGTGTCTTCGAAGCCTCGTCGCATGCATGCGTTGAGTTTCTCAGATTGTATGCCGTAAGGCATGTTGTTGTGTCAAGTGTTCTAGCGGGCCCAGGAATGTGGTGAGATCTGACCACAGAACGGACTGCCACAACGTTGTGGAAGGGTCCTATCTGGACTTCCGTCCGCGTAGGGAGCCGATCCCGCACGTCATCGTCAGCGCCAGCGGCTGGGGAGGGCATTGGACGAAGATGCCGGCAGAGACCTTGGCCCTGACAACGTTTGCTGATGTCTCCCTGCCGGGTTTCACCATCTTCCAGTTCCTGAAGCTGCGCCACAGGAAGGCGAAGCCATGTGAGCGCCCGAGTCGCGGGTTGGTCGAGGAGTATTATCGAGCGTATGCTGACCATTATAACCTCTCTGCGTACCTGCAACCTGGGGTCGTCAAGGAGGTGGAGCTGGGGGATGACGGGAGATACCTGGTTTCAGCAGAGCTGAAAACTGGCGGCAGTCTGCGATTCTCCAGCTCTGCAGTGGTGCTTGCCAACGGCCGTTTCGGATCCCCTCGCTTGCTACCGACTCTTCCTGCAGAAAGTGGCTCCAGCGTTGGGCCCCTGCTTGTTATCGGAGGCGGGTTGAGTGCAGCTGATGCTGTGCTCGCAGGCCTCCGTTCTGGGAGGCAGGTGCATCACATTTTCCACAGAGGACAAATCATCCGGAACTATGGCGACAGGGCTGAGCAATACCCTGAATACCACGCTTTGCGAGAGTTAATGTCCGGAAGCAACGACAAGAAGGCTCTGGAAGCCGCCGTGGGCTCCGCCGTGAGCTCCCAGGTCAGCTATACACCTTACATGCAAGCCAGTCTCGTAGAATTCCTGCAAAACCCAGAGCCAAGCAACTTCACATGCCAGATCGAGTTTGAGAACAGTTTACGGCGTGTCGTGGAGGTGTCCCAGCTCAAGGTCTAGATTGGATGGTTGCCAGATCTGCAGTTTATGAAATCTCCATCCGTAAGTGTCGAGCTCCAGTGCCAGGCCACTTGTCACTACATGCTGCCAGTGGATAGCAGAAATGGGTTCAGCATCAGCGACAACTTGCATGGTATTGGCTCTCTGGCAGGCACCAGTTTTGTGCGAGATTTAGTCAGCCATGCCTTCAGCGTTCTTTCCTCGATGCACGGCAAGGGCCTTCTCTCCGCTGGTCCTCGGCTTCGGCTGAGCAGCAACCAGGCCCAGGCGGATGGGATTCGAAGGTTTGCAGCCGTCACTTTTGCGGCACGGCTGGTGGCGAACCTGGCCACACGCAAAGCTGCACCCCCCTGTCCACCTGCAGAAGCCCACATCCTCAGCCTTCACATGGCAGCATTCTTGGTCTGGTCAGCAGAATCACGGGTGCTTCAACCCGTGATGTCCGCAGGGCCGCCAGCCGGCTCGACGGTGCTGTTGTTGGGCCCTTGCGAAGTCGCTGAGGTCTTGTCCCGAATGTACCAGGTCAATGTGACCAGAGTGAACGAAGAGCCACTGCCATCTTCGGAGACGTACGGTGTTGTGACACAGGCTCTTCAAAGTTTTCCTGGCGAGGTCTTTGATGGTGCCTTGGTCTACTGGCCGGCTTGGGTTGCCGGGCTGGCCGACCCAGAGATTAGCTCGCCGTCTGGTTTCAGCCAACTTTGCCATGCCTTGGAAACCACGACCAGGCCTCTGCCCAGATGCCTCTTAGGGAAAGTAGCAGTAAGTAGCAGAAGTTGCCGGATGTCATTATTGAGGATGTGACCGCCTTACAAACATCTGTATGAATATTTAAAATAAACCCTAATTAAAAGCCTAAATCTTACCGAAACCCTTAATAGTAATTCTAGCCCTTCGAAGCAGGCAGTTTATATGGATTGGTGGCCTTTCTGCAGAAGCTGCTTCCGAAATAAGAAGCCGTGTCCTTACAAGCTCCGCAGTTTTGCGAGCTTGCTAGCTGCGTCCATCGCCGCCATGTCATGCATTCCTTCATCAATCAACTTCGCGCACGAAGTTTCTTGAAAGTGTGAGGCTGTGCCGACACGTTGATGATGCAGCACAGGACAGAGTGGACTCACACACGCTTGTTTCGTGTCTCTTACCCTAGGGCTCCAGTTACCTAAATAGTAGGTTACTTGGGGTACATATTATATGGTTAGTAACCCACTATTTAGGTAACTGGAGCCCTAGGGTTATTCAAACCGAGCATCGGGGGCAGACAAAGGTTGCTGCGAGTGCCAATGTGTGGCTCACCTCCAATCTGCCTTGCGGTGGTTGTCCGTATGCTTTTGGTAGACTTCCCTGGTGCACAAATATGCATGGTTGCAGAATTCTTAAGAACATTTTGCCCATGTATCTATAAGTCGTGCTTTTGCATAAGAGTGACACAACCCCATCAAAGAGCCCCCCCACCCTATAAAACGCCCCGAAAAAAATCGGCTCAGCGCTTTTCTCGCAGAGGATTGCCAAGAACTCCGAGCTCCTCGTGGGTAGGAGACCCAGACCCCTGGAGTTTTGGCCCAGTTTAGGCTCGAGGATTTAAAGGTTTCAGGTCCGAGGCTTATAGGGGGCTCAAAAGAGCTTACAGGGGGGGGGGGTCTAAGAGCAGTTGTGTGGTTTATGGCGGGTTTTGGGATCATGCTTGTGCTTCGTGGGGTTTTAGGATGGTTTCGGGCTTTCGGGTTTACTTTGCCTGAACCCTATAAAGGGTGTAACTAAGACTTTGAGGTCCCTCGCGGTGACTTTCCTGCGAACTTCCCGCAAATGGTGTTGAGGGTACTCTGCCCCTAGGGATCTCAAGGGTTAGTAGCAGTGCTTCCGCATATAGTCTCTGTATGTCTCGATATAGCTAGTGATACTAGAGTCGCACGTACAGCAGAATGCTGAAGCATGTGGGCACCTCCAGGGTCTTAGATTTCGGGATTGAGAGTCCGGGGCTGCGGGAGTCATTGGTGTGGGTTAGGTTTTGGGTGTATTTTTCGCAGTGAGGCATTCATGATTCGTGATGTCAGTGGATTTTTTTGTTCGGCAGGTTGCGCAAAGCCTGCACACAGAACATCCTTTGTTGTAAAGGGGACTTTAGTCACATGATGTAGAGGCCGAGTGAATAAGCTCCTTTTCTATACTAGCCTCAGCTACAATGCTTGTGAAGAGACAGCTAAATCCAGGCAGTGGGCTGCAGCAGGAAACCTTGAGATAGGAAGCAAACCGTTTGATTTTGCACAAGTTTTCTCAGTGCGAGTGTCAAAACTCGGTACAGTACATACTGTACTCCCCCCATTTGAGGCTGTGTGAATGAGACGAGATCTGCAACTGTGACTTTCCCTCTAGGATTTAGCAGTATGGCTTATAAGGCTTAGGGGTTCATTGGGCTCCAGACTCGATAAACTTGGTGCGAAGCCCGTAAACCCCGGAAGTCTCAAGCCACCTGCGGAGTTCCTAGTGCCCCGACCTGACACCCTGATGCCCTAAACTTTATGTGAGCCATCCCTCCAGCAAGAAAGAGAAAACTCACACATTGTCTATAACCACACAGGTGAAGAGGAGGCCACTCGGAATGCCGCCTCGGATGTCTCTGTTTTCTTTTTCCGCCGGAGCACAGCCGGGCTGGAAGGTTCGGCCCTGATGCAGTAGTACCGGGGTCGGAACAATTGGTAAGAGTAAACCCTGACAGTCCTGAAATGATTAGCTATCACGTGCCCCACAAGCAGATATGCTAGGATGGCAACTTGATGTTTAGTGTCCTAGAATAAGAAGAGCAGCAGTACCGGCGCAATACCAACACAATACCTCCAATACCGAAGCTGTTGCCCGGAGGCTCTGGTGTGCTCGCATGCAGGTATTTAGTGACTTATTTTTGTTTGGCTGCCTGTTGAGCACGAGCGACCGTAACGCCTTTGGGTGACCAGTGCATCAAGATGTTGCACTGTTTGACTCCTGGCAGCCGCCATGGGTGACCGCGAAGCATACGGTGCCCAGACTGGCTCTGCCCCTCGCACTTCTGGACTCTCGCACTGATGCACGACCAGAAGCTGCTTCAAGCCGTCGGGAGGTTCTGGGTTACCATAAGTACCGCGTATCTCCCGTCAAGAAATCGATCCATCAAGATTTGCCTTGCGTACATAACCCGGTTTGAATAATCACAATCCTTCAAGTGGCACTGCCTTGCGAAAGCTAAATGCTGAAGGCATCGGCGGCTCAGATTCGTTTATTCTGAGGGGTAGGGTCGGCATGCACAAGCTGCCAATGCCAGAGACCATCGGACCCGTGGTCTTCCTTTGTTGGGCCTTCTCTGAATTAGGCTCCTTAGTAGTGTCCTTCTACTACCTGCGTATTCTCAGGGAGATTCGAAAGGAGATACACATGATATGTTCGAACAGCTTGTCGTCCCAGAGGCTGGCAGCAGGAGTTTTCGCCAAAAAATGATGAGCTGTGGTATCTTTACTTTTGAGACGTCAGTGATTGTGTTGGGGAGCTCTTGCGGGGTGAGCGTCTTCTTCGGCGGGCAGAAGTTCGATCTGTGTATCAACCCCGAGTCCTCGATTGCTTGCAGGACTTTCTGGAAGCGCTGTGCTTAAAACCTCGCATTGGCCCCTAAACCGAACCTAAAGCCCGACTCCAGTAATCCTCCAGATCACATTGCAGCCGCATCTTTTTCTGTTGGGTTGGCTTCCTCCCCGGCGCTCAGGACCAGGCCGGATTGTGTTGAACCGGCTGCTCTGGTTTATCTTCACTAGTCTCATAGCTTCTGCACAAGAACACAAGATTACCTTTGTGTTCACATGGAGAAAAGGCTACTAGAAACATGCATCATGACAAGCTGCAACGATATGTGTATGCTCTGCTCTGTCATGCCATGCCAGGCTAGGCTTCGTCGTGGTATGTCATGTCTCGCCATGGTGCTAAATTCAGGTCATGTTATGCCATGTTACATCTACACTACTATGTTATGCCATGCTCTTATCTGCTGTGTTATGCTATGCCATGTTATGTTACACTATGTTGTGGTGCGCCGTAATATTCTATGTTATGCGGTGCTGTGCTATGCTGTCGTGATATGCTATGACACGATGTGGTTTGGTATCTTGTGATATGTTATGTTGCATCGCAGCCAACCTGCATACATGGATGGATGGATCGATGGGTGGAGGGATGGAGGAATGGGTGCATGGATGTGAATATGTATGCATGCTTGAATGCATGTATGTACGAGTGTATGTATGTATGTATGTATGTATGTATGTATGTATGTATCTACGCATGTATGTATGTACGAAAGAATCCAAGTTTGTATGGATGCACACCTCTGTCTTGTTTTTGCTACATAGACAATACAGAAGTTTATCTATACGTGTTTACATATATATATATATATATTTATTTATTTATTTAATATGTTGTGTTTGTTCAGTTTTATATATTTGAATATGCACATTTCTGTCTGTCTGTCTGTCTGTCTGTCTGTCTGTCTGTCTGTCTGTATGTGTGTCTGTGTAGGTATGTAGGTATGTATGTATGTATGGGAGAATGTATTTATGCATGTATGTTTGTTTTTGTGTTATGGTTGTTATGTATGTTGTATGTGTGGTAATTGCGTCATGTTATGGTAGTCGGCAGTTGGTGTTCTGCTTTGTGTGTGTGTGTGTCTGTCTGTTTGTCTGTCTGTCTGTCTGTCTGTCTGTCTGTCTGTCTGTCTGTCTGTCTGTCTGTGTCTGTCTGTGTCTGTCTGTGTCTGTGTGTCTGTCTGTGTTGCTGGGTCAATTCCCAGCCGTG